TTGCTTGAATTAAAGTCGTGAAAAGTGCATCATGTCAGCAGCTGACCAAATGCTTTACCGAGTTTATAACCTGCAAAGTGAGCGTAGTAATATTTTCATTTTGCATTGAAATCTTGATAGTAAAACACTATTTTGTCGTTAATCACAGGTTGTTTTGACCATGCTAGATTTGACTCCCCAGCATACAGATGATGGATGTATAACAGTATAATGTCAATTTTTTTTTAACTACTAACAATAGGTGAAAACTAAAATGAAACAGGTCCTTAATGAGAGCATGCTATTTCGTTTTATTTAGCTTATGAGTACACGTGAAGATTCTCAGTTAATGTTTTTGTCAGTGATATTTCAAATTGTTTGTTTTGGCAGCTATGTTGACCATGGTTTCCTCAATTAATTAAGCACTGAAAAGACAATTTTATGGTAGTTTTTGGTCCAGTTGCATGAAGAACAAAAAATAACATGAAACGTAACCCAAAACCCTCACCAATCCTCTTGCAATATGTGATTTTCGACCTTAAGACTTGTTATGTTGCCTAGCAACTGTCTTGCAGAAGACTCGGGGTCTCAGCAACTTTCTACAGGCTTTTTCAAGTGAGTTACCACTGGTGACAAAAATGCATAGAGTTTGAATGACAGTCAGCAATTTTTTTAAAAAAAGAACTCACGTTTGTCTTGAGGAGTACTTTAATGAGCAATTTCTTCAAATTGCCTCCAGGGTGTCATATCATGTAGAGCAATACCTTTTAGTGGTTGCAACATTCTAATAACGGAGATCAAGATTATAGAAATCTGTAAGAATAAGCCATTTTCTCTCTCGAATAATTGGCGATAAACTCCAAAGCGAGCTTCTTCAATGTAATGTCGAGAACTCGAAAATGGCTTGTTGGCCTGCCCATGTTTGTTTTTAATAAGTCATTGTAGATTTATTATTTTGCAACAATAGCCCACGGGATGGAGTCCCATGAACGGGATTTCACCTGCATGAACGGGATTTAACCCGTTTAATATCTGGGTTTTACCCTCGCCTGTTGAATTTCACTGATTGTTTTGAGGTGATAAATAACTATAGATTTATGTTTATACAAGCAGACAATCCACGGTGAAAAAGATTATAAATGCCTAAAAGTGATCTTTTGTATATTTGTATATTTCCTTTGTAAAGCTGTATAAATTGCCCTTGTAATTGATTGGCAATAAATATGATTTTAGCTGCTAATGGAGAGTAAATTACTTTGCTTGCTTTGTAATGCATTTTTAGGCAGAGTCCACGTTACACTGTAGAAATTGGAAAACGCAACTTTATTTCTAGCTTTTTAAAACGCTTTTCAAACTGGAGGAATTTGAAACGCCACCTTTTTGTTTAAGCGTGGACGGAAAACATTTTGAAAAGGGAGCTTTTCGAAAACGATGAAGTCGATGAGGGCTCGTTCTGAAACAGAGGCATAAGGTAACTCGAAAATAGGCTATTTGGCGTTACATAATGCGCAGTAAGAATGCGCATTACAGTGCGCGCGCGTCGTTTTTGCAGTGTACAGACGTACTTATATGTACACACTGATTTTCAGGATAAGCGCGCGGTCCTATATTAGAGCAATTTGTTTTTAGCACCTTTGAGACTGAACTGAAGCACGAAAAACTTTAATCTCAAACAAGTAAATTAAAGGAACACAGCAAAACAGCAATGCACATGGTCAAAGTAGTGGAAGAAAAATTTCTCAGTAGGTGAAAAAGTTTGCGACCAAAGTCTGGCATGGTTTAGCATACTTTGGTCCCAATTAGCACAACTCTAGTGTAGTTCAAATTACTGTAATTACCAAAAACCTTTTGTTAATTAAACCCACGCCATAGTGACTGCGTAAAGCAAAAAGCAAAACCTTGCCAACTGCGTATCGCTGAGCAATTTCATACAATGGCTATAAAAGTCTGCGATATGTGCATGTAGATGTTAATGTAGCCGTGAGCTGTTGTGATGTTTAGCTATACACTTGGTGTTGGAAGGTAAACGGAACGAAATCATTATTTGAAAGGACTTAACACTGTTTGTTAAAGTGACTTGTGCTGAAGCCAAAAATAGCAACAAAACCACGGCAGAGACATTGTTTGATCATCGAGATGTTTTCTCTCAATTTGAATAGCATTCCCTACCGTCCTGCCCTCTTTTTATCTTGTTAACGCTTCTGACTAAACAGCTTTTGGGCTTAAAAACAAAGCCATCATTAAGGTAAATCAGCATGAAAATATTGCTTTTATAACGTTGCTCTTTGGGCAATTATAAGGGAGATGACTGAGCCAGGACTATATTCATTGTGTATTTGCGTTTATTGCGAACTTGTCACTGGTAAAATAGCTTATGTAGAAAACCGAATTTCGACCAAGGATTTACATTCAAGTTTTTAACCGTCCATTTGTTTTGGGTATAATATGAATAGAACGGAGATCGACGGTCTATTTGTGCCAGAGCTCTTGCTAAAGAAAAAACTCAACCGGAGGCTTTCCGTTGAAACAAATCAACTGAATAGTAACTGGGAGAAAGTGAAAGATTCCCTGGACAAAATTCAAGCCTTCATCGAGAGCAGAATGGAACTAGATAAACGCGAGATGCTGAAGTATCAAGAAAACTGAAGGGAAGTACTGGAAGCTTCCAAATTTCCGAGACTGTATCCATGGTAACTACACCGGGAAAGCGAGCAATGAGAATTAGTGTTGAACAAGAGGAAGCTATGAAACAGACATGGTTCAACAAATTAGAAAAATCACGCCCCCGGCGTCTCTCTCTATCGACCGAATCTTTGGCGCAGACTGCAACCATAAGCTCAGCGAAAAAGCGAGTTTTTCGAAGACGGGCAAGTATGTCACTGTTAGACCTTCAGAGGAAGAACGAAGGCTTAAACGGGAAATCACGAATGTCGGAGGTTTCAAAAACTTTTCTTAACCCTTTGGAAGAAGAACCATCTAGTCGACGATCGGCGATTTTTGATAAAGACGACAAAGAGCCGATACGTCTTCCGCCTTCCGTTCGGTTTCCACCGATTCATCAAATGAAACCAGCCAAGCATTCCACCAGTTATTTTGAAAAACCTCTAGACGGTAAGAGGAAAACAAGTGGAGAGCTGAATGCCATCGAAAACTTGAAATACTGTCGATACCTTAAAACTTCCAGGAGAAAGAGCATTGCGTAGTTATAAAACTAAATTATGTAGTGGATTGAATAATAACAGAACTGAATTGTAAAAGTTTTTTGTTTTTTGTTTGAGCTAGGACAATCTGAAGACAGTGAAAACAGGCCGGAAGTCCTCGTCAATGTACTCATGTTTTGAAGCTAATAACTTGGAACTTATCACCTGAACAAAGTGATCACTTGAAATGCGAAGAATTTTGTTCAATCGGATGTACAAAGCTACTTCAACACTAAAATATTTTATCTACGTTTACATGGTATACCAAGCTTTTTCCAAATTCTCAATCAGAATGAATATCCTGATGCTAGCTAGAATTGAAATCTGTAAACATAACATTTATTTTCACCTAACATATTTATTTACACTTGTATATAACTCTCAGAATGTGCAAATGATGTACTTGGGTTGTTTTCAACGGGTACATATTTTAAACATGTACAACCTTTTGTTTCATACGGTAAACAATAAGTTCGCCGTTCCAGCATCGCTGAAAAATGAAACTTTAAATTTCTTTTCATTAACCAGTCCCGTCTTGTAGCCTCCAATAACAGGCTATGTGTACGACGAAAAACTTAAAATCCTTTAATGCAGAATCCTTTGAAAATTGTTAAGTTGTCTTTATTGTTTTCTTGGATTATTGCCCATTGTGGGTATATTGGCAAGCAAGCTGTCATTAATGGGTCTTAATGCACAAGCTTTCTTGTTGCGGTGTCCTTCGCTGTACTTAAGTCCGTTCAATCTCGAATAACTTATCTTCCTACTCCAGCTTTTGAAGTTTAACTTGTTGCCCTTGGGTGATTGAGATTGAACGAACGCATCACTCCGGCATTGCAGTGTATCACTGTTTTTATTAAACTATTGTACAGTTGTGCTCTATACATATTTTAACAGGATTCAAAGGGCTAATTACAGTAATTAATTGAAAGCAATTGTCGGGTAGTCAATGGCATGGAGGATTGCGTCAACTTAATCTTCACAGTAAAAGCTTCGCTGTTTTTTGCCTTCAATAGCAGTTAACAATATTCCTTACAAGCCGACGTCCTTGTGTTTCAGTGAAGGCCAGTGAAACATTAACAATCTTATAAAAAATGTTAAGAATGTCGGAATCCATTAATCCCTGTTACTAATTTTCTCTGTACGCACAAAACACGAGAAGGATAGGCGAAATATAGATACCATCCGCATGCATTTCGCCGCTACAAATTTCGTTCCGACTTCTTTAGTCTCTTAACGCCCTGCTAGACTGTACTTCCCCCCTAATCAACCGATATGAACAATGATGTCAGATGTATGTCAGAACCGCGAGGAGGACCGCGTTCCTAAGTGACAAAAACGTATGAAAACTGCCAACCATCTAGAATGATTACGACGCTTTATCACTTTTTGTTGACAACTGTCTCAATGCCGTTCAAGTGCATTCGATTAATTTGATCCGTGGTATAAAACCAGATTCGCCGAGCGTGCGCAGTAAGAACAAGAATCAAGCTTCGACCTCGATCATTCTCTTCCCCAGTGCTACTCGTTTTTAAATGTCGCTACGAGCCGAGCACGTGGCTAATAGAAACGGAGGCTCTGGGGACGAGAATGGATCTCGATGAGATCATGTTAGTTTTCAGGGTCTTCTCGTCCCTCGCCATCATGAGAAAGAGTGTGATACCTGCCGGAATGTTTCGCAAAATCGTTGCGTTATGGCGCCAAATGGGATTGTGAATTGAAAGCGTGGGAATAGAAGAACGGACCTTTAAAACTTCTACGCCATTTTCCTGTCAAGTTCCAGCCCGCTGTGTGAACCGATCCGTCCTCAGATTCTTCTTTGTCCTCGTGTGTGACGGCTACCTGGACATTCTTTAACCGAGAATTGGCGTCGATTTCGTTGTCGGGTGAAAAGTCGTTCTCCTTGTGATCATAGCAGGTGCAGTGCAGAACACACAGGCGGTAGACTTGTAACGCTAGTACCAGCGCGTTTTTGGCGGTCAAGAAAATCACCATGTACTCGTAAGCTTGATATTGGGCGATTATGAATAAGCGGAACGTGAGGAATGGTCCATCCTGCATGAACAAAGACATCAAGATTCCTACAAGCTCTGGCGTGATTCGAGATTTGGTTGTCTCTTCCACCGGCTCGTTACTCATATCAACGCATATTTCTGGTGCTGGGGAGCTGGGTCTTGTAATTTTTTCTTTTAAAGGAATCGTTCTGTCTTTGCCTTCATTAAACTCGAGCCGAAGATTTGGTGACGTCATTGATGTTGTCATATGTCCCATCTTGCGCTTCGGTCTCATTTGTCCCACAGTCGGCAGTGAGAATCGTCCAGGCCCTCTCGGATGACCATTCGAAGTGCCTGGTTCGGCCTGGGCGTTTTGAATTTGGCTCGTTTCAGGCCCAGGATTATTATTAAAGGCCTCGTCTGTTTCACCCAAATGAGGCTGGTAGGAATTGCGCCGAACATCTGGCAAATAGCCACGTGGCAAACCACGTGAGTAATTATGCGACATTAGCAAAATGTCACGTGATAGTCTCTTTGCAGCAATGGCGTGCTTGAAGTCCATTGACGTCATCGACGCCCTGTTGGTTTCGTGAGCCGGTAAATCAATTCCTGTGCTGTAAGGAACAATCGATCTTCTACTATGCATTTTGTTTATTTCTCTCGCGGGCTTTCGATCGTTCTTTCCTTCTTCTTCTTCTTCGGGGTCAAGTTTCGACATAGTGTTAAACGGAAACTGCATCAAACTCCAGGTCCACAGACACAAGATCGTGGCGATAAGTGTTGGAGAAGATTTCACAAAAGCTAGCTTAAGAATATCAAAGAACTCAATGATGTCGGCGCACATGGCTAGGTTGACGAGGAGAAGCTGCGAGAGGGAGTCTTTAGTCATGCCTTGACCTGTTGGCAGGAGCCAACGACCGAGAATCATCATCAACATGGTGGTCTGTTCTATTAAGTCTGTCCATCTCTCCGCTGAAACAATGAGCACGTCCGCGTTGAGCTGTAAAGACAAACAAAAACTGTGATATCTGCAACTGGGGCGTGGCTCAACTTCGCGTATTAAATGAGTTACGTCACGGCTCATGCATGGAGTTAAGACTAAATTTTACAAGTGGGTCGCACGGTTTGTAATCCGTGTTAATCTTCTCCATCCTTAGCCATCCTTGTGCCTTTATGGTTTATTATTATCTCTCTTGTGTTCTTCTGTCTTATATCCCATTTACACCAACAAGCTAAACATGTTTAAAAGTGGTTTAGCTAAAAAAGAGTAAAAATTACTGAGGTGCTCATACCGTACACACCTCACAACTTAACAAGGTAAAAAACCTGCTTGAAAAAATATTTTAGCAAGGTGGTTTAAAATTTGTTTTCCCAAAATGACTGCAAAGCGTTATTGACAAACCGGAAAAACCTACACCTTTTTTAGTTAAAGTAGTTTAGTTGGTGTGAATGGGGTATTAGTAAACTGCTATTAGCAGGTTTCCTTCAATTTAAAAGTAATTTTGTACGTGGTCAAAATAACTCAAAATGCCGTGACTGAGCTCCTTTAATGCAAACACTTATTGTGTCGCACCCAGTGTTGTTTTAAATACATGTAATGAAGAAAGGTAACTAGAAGAAAAATTTCATCTAAGCTTTCGGCCGCCAAACTACAGCTTTCAATCATTGAACAAGAGGTGAAATAGTCACTACAGAATTCATTTAACCATCAATGGCTTTTGTCTAACGGCCGAAGCTCGAAGGGTTTAACTATGAACTGTACATGGCCAGCTAACGTGTTTAAACACTTAACAATTTTAATCGATGAACGACCTTTCAGCATGTCAAGTTTCTCTCTGTTGTATTGGGTGGTGAATCGCGGGAGTAATTGTGAATGTAAGAATCTTTGGCTTAAAACCAACCTTATAGTAGACATAGTAAGCAAATAGCCACTTTCCAAGTAAGTAACAAATTGGGGCTTACCGGAAGTTTAATTGCATACTCTTTTTAGTTCAAACTCGACTTAAAAATGCAATGTACAATATTTGACTCGAGGTATTGCCTTTTCCATTTTCAGACCCTACCCTGGTCCAGTCCCTAAAATCTCCTTTCTCCACTCTATATAGAGATTCAACCCACTAACTCTACCTGAGATCTTACTTACATTGAGTTGAATTCAACGAATATATAGGGTTGAACTGAAAGAAAAAAGATCAATCCTTACACTGTTATTTGAGGTGCCGTTTTCCCGCGCCTCCAGAAGATGAAACTCGAGAATCCAGGCACAGGGAATGATTCCAGCCAGATGACAGAAGATTGATGGAGAAAACCTGAACAGCCAAAATGGAAATGTTAATATCTAAGAAAGAAAATAAATCTGCTTCGGAAGCATGGCGCACCATGGTTTACGTAGTCTGAAGAGAAAGGGGTTCTGTCCTCGTGTACTGGTTCACAAGAACCGATACACGACCCAACAATGTTCAACAGCTAAACAAAGGTTCGTAAAGAAAGGAGTATAATGGTTATTCCCACTGTGTACCGGTACACCAGGACACAACCGGAAAGGTGACAATAAAGACAGAGAGAGACTGGAAAAGCTGTTACCATCAACTACCTGAGCCCGCGATTTTCGACGCTGAAGTTGCTAAGCAACTTGATTCATTACGTCACCCTGGCATCACCGGTGGTTGTGATTGACTCAGAAACCCATCAAGTGCTTCAGCTGAAGAAGTAGGCCTTCTCACAAATATCACGTAAAATCGCTTATATATTTCTCTGGAAATTCTCCCAAAAATTTCTAAATATCACAATTTTTTTTCTAAATATCTCGAAAACCCCTCTAAATATCTCTTATTTTTGTATTAAAAATAAATCGATTTTTTTATCACTTAGGCCAAAATTTGCAAAATTTTCTTACAGTAGTAGGAGTTGGGGAGGAAGATATTCAGGCGTTTCGATGTTACCGGCATCCGCCATTTTGGAAATTGCTGCTTTAGCACTTTTGGTGATATGGATTACATTTTAAGAGGGAAATCTTCTAAATGGATTGTTCCGGAAAAAAAAAAGAAAAAAGAAAAAGGGTAAGAAAAACAGCCGATAAATCCTGTCTCGTTTGTACCCATTTGTAGTCCAACTCAGACACGTAGAGGAAATTAATGAAAGATAAATATTTCTATTTTCAAATAAAGCAGTTAATCTGTCAAGTGCTTTCGAGAGCAAGCAGTGTTCGATAATGCTAGTTTTAATTAAGCTGGAGTGATATAATGCATGGCCTGAGGCCATGCAAAAGCCGCAAGCGTGTGAAGNTAGTCTGAAGAGAAAGGGGTTCTGTCCTCGTGTACCGGTTCACAAGAACCGATACACGACCCAACAATGTTCAACAGCTAAACAAAGGTTCGTAAAGAAAGGAGTATAATGGTTATTCCCTCTGTGTACCGGTACACCAGGACACAACCGCAAAGGTGACAATAAAGACAGAGAGAGACTGGAAAAAGCTGTTACCATCAACTACCTGAGCCCGCGATTTTCGACGCTGAAGTTGCTAAACAACTTGATTCATTACGTCACCCTGGCATCACCGGTGGTTGTGATTGACTAAAAAACCCATCAAGTGCTTCAGCTGAAGAAGTAGGCCTTCTCACAAACATCACGTAAAATCGCTTATATGTTTCTCTGGAAATTCTCCCAAAAATTTCTAAATATCACAAATGTTTTTCTAAATATCTCGAAACCCCTCTAAATATCTCTTATTTTTGTATTAAAAATAAATCGATTTTTTGTCACTTAGGCCAAAATTTACAAAATTTTCTTACAGTAGTAGGAGTTGGGGAGGAAGATATTCAGGCGTTTCGATGTTACCGGCATCCGCCATTTTGGAAATTGCTGCTTTAGCACTTTTGGTGATATGGATTACATTTTAAGAGGTAAATCTTCTAATTGGATTGTTCCGGAAAAAAAAAAGAAAAAAGAAAAAGGGTAAGAAAAACAGCCGATAAATCCTGTCTCGTTTGTACCCATTTGTAGTCCGACTCAGCCACGTAGAGGAAATTAATGAAAGATAAATATTTCTATTTTCAAATAAAACAATTAATCTGTCAAGTGCTTTCGAGAGCAAGCAGTGTTCGATAATTCTAGTTTTAATTAAGCTGGAGTGATATAATGCATGGCCTGAGGCCATGCAAAAGCCGCAAGCGTATGAAGGGAAAACAAAATAGGAAGAAACGTCTTATTAGGCAGCAAGCACAATGATGGCAAGTTCTCTGTGAAGTGTTTGTCGTTCAAATGGCGACAAATTTAAATAAAACATCAGAAAAATATGCTAGAAATGTCGTCAACATTTCGTGTCTGAATCGCGCTTGACTTTGCAATATTTGGCTGAACGTAAATGGAGAAACGGATCAAATGATAAACCCAGTGTATTGAGATAAGTAAAAAAAAAAACATGCTTTCACAGTTGGAAGTTGTTGGAAATAAAACCTGAAATATTAGTCTCCCTCAGAGAATAAGCCATCAAAGCGATGTCTCTACAAGAAACATATCATATATGTTTGTTGTTTGTTTCATTCCTCAATGATATTGTTTAGTTGCAATCAGATCAGAC